GTGGGAGGTGGATCCAGCCAGTTATGCACCCACCTTATAGTAGCCCCATCTAATTTGTATTTGCCTAGTTTATCGATAAGAATATCATGCGAGACCGTATCAAATGCCTTACTTTACAGCATGTTTTAGTGACAACCACACAACACAATCTCATAACTTCACATGCACTAAAGATACACATCTATGGATAGAGAAATGACTCTCAGCAGATCATAACCTTTCCCTGGATACCTTACAAGGCCTGCTTTCTATGTGAGATCACAATTATAACAAATAAAGAGTATGGGGGTTACAGGACGCTCCCCCAAGATATAGAGTGCCACAATGCCCATGTCCCAACAACGATTCAGTATTTTGTCAGGCAGAATTAGAGTCTTGTTCTGTCCCCAGCCTGTGCTGTGTGTGTGTGAGTGTGTGGGGACAGCTGGGGGTCAGAGGGTGCCGGCTGGCCTGGCATTTCTGTTATAAAGCCAAAGTCAGATCTGAGCGCTCCTCCGGCCTCCCACTGCCCTCACTACTGTACTGGGCCCCTTCAGCCCTAAGGGCTCCAGCATCCCACCCTCCACCACCAATATTCCCCTAAAGTACCAGCATGGGTCTCTGCTGGGGTCCCATGTCAGACTCAACTGAGTGCCCCCTGCAGCCCATAACATCCAGCTGGGTGCCCAACACCCCCTCACCTGTTACAGCCAGGGGAACTCCTCCCGCAGGGGCTGAGCCAGAGCCGCGTGGGTGACGTGACAGGAGAAGATGCTGCCGGAGTTGCTCATGGTGGGGGTGAAGGTGTAGGTCAGGGTGAGGTTAAAGGTCCCGTCCGGGTTCCTCTGGGGGGCAGAGTGGGTGGCATCAGTCAGAACCCGCCCGTCTCTCAGCCACGTGACGGTGACGTCCCCGGGGTAGAATCCCCACACGTGGCAGGGGAAGGAGGTCGCTGCGTCTGTCCTGACCACTCGCCGGGGGATGGAGAGTCTGGGAGCAGCTGGAATGAGAGATACAGTCATTGACCTGTGTCTCGACATATATGTGATAATTTTGGGTTACACACATGAGCCAATCTGAGTGTAAGTTACACAGATATCCCCAGTTCAGTATGGTGGGGCACGAAACACCCCGGGTCACTGTGAGGTTCTACCCCAGTAGGATGTAGGAAGGCGCGTCAGACACGGTGACTGAGGTGCGTGGTACAGAAGGTGTCAGTGCCGGGCAGGTCAGGAGGGGGCTGGGTTACAATTTCCCCGGCTCACATCTCTTAGGAGCAGGAAGCGAGTGGGCAGCAGAACCTGGCACTCAGCTGTGTGAGTGCACTTCACGTACCCGTTGGGCAGCTGGATTCCCCCTGAAGGAATTACATCCGGGGGCAGGAGTCACAGATCTTATGGCCAGAAAGGACCATTATGATCATCTTGTCTGACCTGCCGCATACCCAGAGCCGAGAGCCCCACCCTGCAGCACCAGAGTTGCGCTGTACTGTTGACACTGTCTATGCTGACGGGAGGGGAGAGCGCATTGTAAGCAAGTAACCACGTCTGGTGGAAGCCAGAGCGTAGCTGGTGTTTGCTGACGGGCTGTGGGGCTCAGAGCTGCTGGCCCAGGGCTGTGGCTACACACAGACACTCAGAGTGGGACCTGCAGGTTGTTGGTCTGGTTCTCAGGAGCCCAGGGTGGAAGCGACAGCAGGAAGCACTGGGAGGCACCCCAGGGTGCAGGGCAGGTGGTGACACAGCTGCTGACCGGTCTGGACTCACTGTCCCAGCAATATTAACCCACAGGTGAGCCAGGCCGATCCCAGCTCCGTCTCTGTCAGTGTTCAGCTGAGACACGGGGACCCTGGCATGTGCTGGCCCCTGGTCTGCCAACGTCACAGTCACACTTCAGGTGGGAGAGCGGCTGTGTCTGAAACCCAACACTGCCTCGCTCTGCCCGGGCCAGTGTTCGCATCCTCGCCTGCCTCGTCTACACACCCTGCCACTGGTTTAACTTTCCCTGTTTCACTTTCACTTACACCTGACACCGATCAGCTCACCCTGAACGGCTGTACACCGGTCACAGCCTGCAATCAGAGCGTCCACTGGGGGGTTGTGTTGGGTTACTGAACTCGGCTTCAATTCACACCTTTAGTTAAACCAGAGCAACCCTGTGTAGACAAGTCCTCACCCCCACCCCCTCCTCCCACCTGCGGGATTGTGGGACCAACGCAGGAACAGCCAGTCCCGAGTTCCCAGCCAGGGAACGTCCGAGCACTTCTCCTGTCCTTACCAAGCACACGGAGGGTCGTCTCTCCCTGCAGCTGCTCTGTACCGTAACCAACGACGCATTTATATAGCCCCTCATCCGACACCGACACACCGGAGAGCGACAGGGATGCGTTCCCGTTCTCCAACTCCTGCTCTGACACGCTCGCTCTGACCTGGGATTCTCCCCTGCCCTGGTCGTACTGCGCGATCCTCTCCTCAAACAGATACCACTGAACCCGCAGGGAGCTCAGATCGACCGGCCCCCCGACGTCGAACCGACATTTCAGCAGCGCCCCAGAGCCCAGCAGGGCCCGGGAGGAGGGTTCTGTGAATATCTGCAGCCGGGAATCTGTGCAGGGAAAGAGAAGCAGACCTGGGGTAACAGGGGGAGAAATTACCCAGGTAACGTGAGCTGGGCAAGACGATAAATCCAGCAGGGCTGGCTCACCTGTCACCTGCAGCTCCCGGCTGTGCTCTGGCTCCCCTGGGTGTATCAGTTACTAGACACCCTCCCCCCCACCCTTTCTCCTTCCCAAACCGTCCCACACGGGGTCCCTCCGAGCCAGGACAATGCAGCAAAGGGAGGTTTTGCAAATAGTTCTGGGCTTCTTCCCGCATTCGCTCCGGCCCTGTTCACACCCCTTGAGCGATCTCCGGTGCCATGTCTGCCCTAGCCCGGCTCACCCCGCTGGGGCACAGAGCTGGCAGTGCTGGGGCAGAGCTGGGGCAGAGCCGGGTTAGATGATACAGCGCAATAAACACCTGCCCCCCTTCCCCCCGTCTACACGCGCTCCCTGCTGGGCTACGGCACGGGGGGGACCCAGCAGAAGAGCTCTAACCCGCCCTGCTTCCTTCTGGGCCTGAGCCAGCCCCACACGGAGCAGTCATGGGGCGGGGGCTCCTCTGGGGGCAGGTTAGTCCGTGGATGTTCCTGT